GGTTGTTTATGACAAGAAGCATCACTGAATAAATCAGTGAGGAAATTGGTCATAATCATTCTTTAAGGCCCACTTGGATGTGCCTTTGGAGAAAGTTCATCTCAATGCTACCCATGAATTCCAGAAACCACCGGTGGAGAAGAGCCACTGGTAAAGGATATTAAATAGAAGAATGTGATGCATCGTAGGTACAATGTGGACAACCATCTTTATTTTGAGTTTGGTGACATATTTTCATTTTTCCTTCCTATTAAGAAACATTTAGAAGTCTAGAACTAATTCTGAGCTAACCAGCTTATTTTATATCCTTGTTTACTCTGAATAAAGAAGGGTGATGGGGTGTGTGGCATCTTCCTGGAGTTTCAAAGCTTTTCCTGCTGTAAAAGTCTCAGACTTTCCATTCCCAGCCCAGAGTCGTGTCCCAGCCAGTCAAGGTCTCACAGTCTTCTGACCACAGCAGGACCATGAAGCGATGGTGCCAGGTTTTGATTAAAAACAACAACAACTGTGGGGCTTTTGTTCGCGGGGAGCTTCTGCACAGGACCTACCGCTGGGCACTATGGAAAACCTGGCCATCCCCGGGGAGGCGGGGGTCTCTGCTGTCCTTATTAAGGATCCTATTAGATCTCTCAGCGGCTATTAATACCATCGACCATGGTATCATGCTGCGCCGGTTAGACGGGTTAGAAGTGGGAGGCACCGTGTTGCGGTCGTTCTCCTCCTTTCTCTCTGACTGGTCGCAGTTTGTGTTGACAGGGGGCCAGAGGTTGACCTCGAGGCGCCTCATATGTAGGGTGCCGCAAAGGTCAGTCCCCTCACCCCTTCTGTTCAACATTTATGTGAAGCCGCTGGGTGAGATCATCTGTGGTTTCGGGGTGCAGTTCCACCAGTACGCTGATGACACCCAGCTGTACATCTCCACCCCAGACCACCCCAATGATGCCCTTGGTGTGATGTCCCAGTGTCTGGAGGCTGTGCAGATCTGGATGGGGAAAAACAGGCCCAAGCTCAACCCATCCAAGACCGAGTGGCTGTGGCTTCCGGTGTCCCGATATAGTCAGTTGGTGCCATCTCTGACTTTTGGGGGCGAGTTGCTGGCCCCCACGGAGAGGGCTTGCAACTTAGATGTCCTCCTGGATGCACGGCTGTCCTTGGAAGACCATGTGACAGCCGTGGCCAGGGGGGCTTTTTATCAGGTTCGTCTGATCGGCCAATTGCGTCCCTTTCTGGATCGGGACTCCCTACGCATGGTCACTCATGCCCTCATCACTTCCCGCCTGGACTATTGTAATGCTCTCTACATGGGGCTCCCCTTGAGGAGCACCCGGAGGCTCCAACTGGTCCAGAATGCGGCCGCACGGGTCTTGCCGCTCCCATGTAACACCCCTCCTGCACAAGCTGCACTGGCTCCTGGTGGTCCTCTGGGTGCGATTCAAGATATTGGTTACCATCTTCAGAGCGCTCCATGGCTTAGGATCTGGATATTTACAAGACCGTCTGCTGCCACCAATAACCTCCCACCAGCCAATTTGCTCCCACAGAGAGGGGCTCCTTCGGGTGCCATCGGCCAAGCAATGTTGGCTGGCGACCCCCTTCTCTGTGGGGGCTCCTGCTCTCTGGAATGAATTGCCCCCCAAGATGCGGAGGATTCCCGACTTACGCACTTTCCGCCGGGCCCTCAACACGCTTTTATTCCAACAAGCCGGGCTGGCCTAATTTTTAAATTTTTTAATTGTTAACTCTTAATTTTTAAATGTCCAAAACGGGTAGTTTTATTTTAATTAGATGTGGGCCAAACTATTTAATATTTTTAAATTGTTTTTACATTTTATATTTGTGTGTTTTATGCTGGCTGTAAACCACCCTGAGTCCCTTTGGGAGAAGGGTGGTATATAAATTTAATTAAATAAATAAATAAATAAATAAATAAATAAATAAATAAATAAATAAGGAGCTCCTCGCAGCTTCTAAGCGATCTGGGAATCTGGCTGGGTGTGTCTGCTTTTTATGTTATGCCTTTACATCTGTTTGCTCGACCTAATAATAAATCTTAAAATCCCTTTATTTACTGTCTCTGGATCCAAAGGGACCACTTGCCTGGGCCCCCGATCCCTGCGCTGACATTGGCAAAACCCGTGATGGGTCCGAGGCAATGCATGGCTGTCTTAAGGGCTTAAAATGGGCTCTGGAAGGGCTGTTTTTCTGAAGAGCAGAAGGAGCTCCTGCCAGGCCACCACCTGCCACCGCACCCTGTTTACATGGGCAGCCTTTTGGCTGGACCTCCGATCCCAGCCCTTAGCAATTAGGAACTGTGCAAGCAGCAGTTTGTTGAACAGGACAGGCAGGAGAAGTGGGGCGGGGGGGGGGGAGGGCAGCGATTCCTGCTCTCACTATACTTATTTTAGGATTCTGCTGCTACCTGATTATTTGTAACATGACGCTCTCCAATTCTTACTGTGATAATTCTGTGGCTATTTTGGCCTATTTCTCAGAGGTCTCTTTCGGTTGGCTACCTCAGGCACCCCCCTTTTAAGGCCTTTGCTGTAGTATGTCTTGGTAATATAGAACAATGTGGATTAGACAGCATCACCAGCAGATGGATTCACAACTGGCTGACCAACCACACTCAATGTGGTGTGCAGTCCTCAATGGAAGTACTACATCTATATGGAAAGAAGCATGCCACGGGGTACCCCAAAGTTCTGTCTTAGGCCACAACACTTCAACAGAACAGAACAGAACAGAACAGAACAGAACAGAACAGAACAGAACAGGATAACAAAGTTGGAAGGGAACTTGGAGATCTTCTAGTCCAACCCCTTGCTCATGCAAACAACTTTATAATATTTCAGACAAATTATTGCCCAATTTCTTCTTAAAATCTTCCAGTATTGGAATATTCACAACTTCTGCAAGCAAGTTGTTCCACCGATTAATTGTTCTCACTGTCAGGAAGTTTCTTCTTAGTTCTAGGCTGCTTCTCTCCTTACTTAGTTTCCATCCATTGCTTCTTGTCCTGCCTTCAGGTGCTTTGGAGAATAGGTTGTTTCCCTCTTCTTTGTGGCAGACCCTTAAATACTAGAACACTGCTATCATGTCTCCCCTAGTCCTTCTTTTCACTAGAGTAGACATACCCAATTCCTGTAACTGTTCTTTATAGGCTTTAGCCTCCATTCCCCGAATTATCTTTGTTGCCCTCACTCTTTCAGTATCTCAAATCTCAACATCTTTTTTACATTGTGGTGATCAAAGTGGATGGAGCATTCCAAGTGGGGTCTTAGCAAGATCTTATAAAATGATATTAACATTTCATGTGAACTTGATTCTGTCCTTCTGTTAATGTAGTCTAAGACTGCATTGGCTTTTTTTGGTGGCTGCAGCACACAGCTAGCTCATATCTAAGTGATTGTCCACTAGGACTCCACAATCCCTCTCACAATTACTAGTATTGAGTCAAGTTTCCTATAGTTCCTACCTATTGTGCTAGGTACCACCGATATTATACCTGTGCATTTGGTTTTTCTTGCCTAACAAGCTGGAGGGAATTGCTAACACTTTGGGAGACAGACTCCAGACTCAGAAAGATCTTCACAGACTTGAGCATTGGGCCCTATCCAGCAAGATCCCTGGTGAGAAAAGTAAGGTCCTATACTTAGGAAAAACCAGGTATGCATAGGTAGCACCTGGATCCATAGTAGTAATTATATTACTAGTGGACAGTCACTTAAATATGAACCAGCCGTGTGCTGCAGCTGCCAAAAAAGCCAACACAGCCAAGGATGCATAGATATAGGGACAGCATCAAGTTCACGAAAATTGACAGCACTGCTTCATATTATACTAGTGAGCCCACTTTTGGAATCCTGCATCCAGTTCTGATCACCACAATACAAAAAAAGATGTTGAGATTCTAAAAAAGAGTGCAAAGAAGAGCAAGGAAGATGATAAGGAGTCTGGAGGCTAAATTGTATGATGCAGAGTTGAGGGAGCTGGGAATGGAGACTAGATTAGGGGGAACACATTAATGACAGTTGAGGGGCTGCCACAAAGAAGAGGCAACTAATTTATTCTCCAAAGCACCTGAAGGCAGGAAAAGAAACCATGGACAAAAATGAATCAAGGAGAGATTAGAAAGGAGAGAAACTTCCTAACAGTGAGAACAGTGAGGCAAGTGGAAAGCTTTGCCTCCAGAAGTTGTGGGGGCTCCATCGCTGGAGGCTGGACAGCAGGTGGACTCCAAGGTCCCTTCCACCCCTAGGAATCTACGATTCTACGCAGTGAGACAACCCCTCTTCCCAGTTTTGGTTGGGCAAGCAGAGAAAATCCTTTCCTGAGTTTTCACGGACATTATCTGTGGCTTACATAGAGTGAGGTTTTTTTCAGAAGCCTTCCTTACGGCATTTTCACAGCTCTCGGCTTTATAGCATCCTAACGGTTTTAAGCAGCCTTGGTGGGAGGGGGAGGTCCTGAGGGGCCAAGATAATAAAGAGGAAGGAGAGCCTCCGGTAACTCCAGCTAGCAGCAGCTGGGAGGGCAGAAGGTCTGACCAAGAGTCCTGCGGAGGCTGGAGCTAAGGAGGTGCAGCAGCCTCTGACCCAGCAGGGTTCAAGACACCCATCCCCGGACCTCTGTGGCTGACCAAGTGCCTCAGCATCTCCCCCCACCCCCCCACCCCCCCCATTTTGCGGCGCCTCAGAAAGAAGAAGAAGAAGAAGAAGAAGAAGAAGAAGAAGAAGAAGAAGAA